GTAACTCATGCTAAGTCAATAAAAAGAGTTCTCAGGGCGTTGCCCTGAGACTCTGCTGGCTCGGACATCTGTTGTTGATTCCTTTGTACTTTCTCTAAGCCAATTAGCCTTCCTTTGTTCTGTGATCACCCACCCCTGCTGTCCTTGCAAGGACAGCAGGGGTGGGGGATCGCTTCTGTCAGGCTTCGCTCCCTGTCTGCCCCGACATAGGAAGACGAGTGAAGGGGGACCCTTTGCAAGACAGTGGGGACAGTCTTTGCAAAGACATCATATATTTTACACATTTTCAGGGGCTGAAGGAGGGAAAGGGGACCCAAGCGATCCCCCACCCCTGTTATCTTTGCAAAGACAGTGGGGGTAGGGGATCACTTGGGTCTCCCCTTCCCTCCTCTTCCTATGCCTGGGCGGAGATAGGAAGAGGAGCAAAGCCTGAGAGGAGTGATACCCCAACCCCACTGTCTTTGCAAAGATAGCAGGGGTGGGGGATTACTTGGGCCCCCCTTCCCTCCTTCAGCCCTCAAAAATGTGTAAAATATATGATGTGGCCCTCATACTGGAAAGTTTGGAGACTCCTGCACTATATGAACACTGTGTGTTTCTTCCACATGCTGCATGTATTGGAACTCTTTTGAAATTAGTTTAATGGTCATGATTTTCCCAAATCAGCCTGCCAACTGTAGTCTGGTACGGGTGCTGACAAATTTCTAAGAGATCCCTAGACACTTTGGAGGAACTGCACAGAGGGCAACATCCAACATTGTACCTGACTCAGAACTGTTGAAATGGACAGTTGTGGTGAACAAATCCTGCTTCTTTGAATGAGCCCCCTCTCGATATGACTCATATCAGATTTAATCTGATTTTCCTAGGTTGGCAGCTATGTAAGCCCAGTTTTTAAAATATGTTTTGTGCATATGGGTGTTAGTGGTACCATGTATTCTCATGGGTCCTGTCATGTGATCTCATTTCTTACATCTGTTCTCCCGTGGGTCTATTAATAAGGAATCTAACAGTACTTCATTTGGAATGTAGGTGAACAAAGGAATTATACATCAGAACACATAGCTTTTTCAGCCATCTGGTTTCCCACTTGCCTCACAACAGCTTCTTCATTGGCCAAATTAAGCATGTGTAACTAAAATGACCATGTTTTGCTTTTCTACTTTGCCCTGCCTCCACTTTGTTTATTTCTTCAACCAGGGCTTAGATTGTAAGTTCAATAGGCAAGGATTTATCTTCTTATATTTCATAAAGTTTCGTGCACATCTATGGTAATCATCATAATAGCAACAGTCTTCTGGCTTCTTGCTTTACAGGGATGGAATGGTTAATAACATAGATGTGTTGTCCTGTATTCCTGTGAAGAGAAGCATTATAGGTATTCAAATGTCCCCCCTACATTTAATGTTTTTGCAGAGTAGGTTTCTGTGTGTTGTTCTGAAGTACTGAACTGTTTGTAGGAAGTTCCTCTGCTGATGTAATCTTCACAGATAATGGCTACTGTCTATCCACAGTTGGGCTTCTGTTGATTTCAGTTACATAACATTTATGAATTTTGCTGAATTCTTTACAAATGACTGGAAATCTCTGCACAGGCCAAATTCAGTAGGAGAATAGGTATTCTCACAAGGGTGAGAATAGGTATTGAAAATCAGGAAAAAGAGATGACAACTGTAATTAAAAACTAAGTTGTCTAGACAAACCAAAGTCTAAACCCAGAATTAAACACTGAAAAACATGGGCCTATGCAGTTGAATCTGCCAATTTTTGTTTCTCTTAAGTTTGATTGTAAACAAACAAACCTCTCAAGATTTTTCAGCTAGCAGTATGAAGAAATTTTCAAATATTGGTAATTTTGAATCAGCCCTGAACTTAAATTCTGGCTTATCCCTAGTGTGGCAGATTTTTTAAAAAAACCTAATTCTGTGGCAGCAATGGAGGCAGCAGCAGCAGCAAGTGAATAGATAGGAAAGAGAAGTAGAAACAAGTGCTTGAAGCAGTTTTTAGTTGTGTGGTAAGCTTATGTGTCCACTCTGCGGATAAAGGTTACACTGAGATAAATAACATGTGGTGATTCCTACGTTATTATAACCTGTTACATTTTTATTCTGTTTGATCTACGTAGCCTTGGTTGTTTCTGAACAAGTGATGATCCTTTCTTTAAATAATAATAAAAAAGGAATAATGTGGAAGAAGAAAAACTCTGACTTATAAAAGAGCTTTCTGCTTGGTTTATAATTCATCAATCTCTTCCTCATCTTGCATCGCTAAAATGCAGGGTTATTAGGATTTTCTCAGTCGGGCTTTTAAGTTAGATGAGCCTTTGCTTATGTCGGCAAAATTATTCTTAAGTAGTATATTGAGGTTCATGTTAATATGTGCTGTTTAATGAAACCTAATGATATTCAATGAAGGGTTGTGCTAAGCCAGAAAGAAAACCTGTTACCTAGGCAACTGCCCTTGTGCAGTATGGAGCTTAGAACATATGGCTATGTAGCATGCATTATTTCAGCATCTTTAACCATTAGGAGCCACATGTGTAATTGACTGTGAAAAATTACTGCTCAGTTACTGTATTGTGTGGTCATAATAGAACTAAATGAGTACGTCATTGTTGTTGGGAGTATATCTGTTGGGAATCACTTGCAGGCCAGTCTATTTAAGGAGCAAAAAATACAATAAGGAGAAAATAGCTGGTTTAATTAACATGTAAAAATTGGGTTAATTTGAATTCAGCTGGCACAGCAGATATTCATGTTTCTTCTGAAATAGCCTGGTTTGAGCCTCACATTTGTCCATTGTCTGCTGTTTCCCATAAAAAGGACATAATTGCTTAATTTTTTGAAATATCAACTGTTTTAGTTCACCACCTGACTTCCTAAAGCATTTGCACTTTTTGACTGAAAAAGGCAGCCATGTTAGTTTGTTGCAGCAAAAAGAACAAAGAATTATATGCCACTTTTTGAAGGGTTTCACAAATTTTATTGTGACATGAGCTGTATAGGATAAAGGCCACTTTATCAGATCATTACACCCATCTAATAAATATCAATTTTATAAAAACTCACATCACATATCTTTTCTCTCTTTTTTCTTTGTTTCTTTTGTTTTTCTTTCTTTTTCCCTTTCAGTCTTAGCATTTGAAAATCCCAGTAGAAACATCACAATATACTGGAATGACTCTGGGCCCTTCACTTTTATTAATCAAATTTCAGCCAAACCAACATAAATGTGGTGTTTCCTGTGACAACACATATTCAGTGTTGAAGCTTCGAGTACCTGTCACCTGTCAATCTGTTAAGGAAGTCTTCTGTTACATAAATATGGGGATCTTATTCTTACTTTTAAAAGTTGACTGAATTATCATCCCAGCTTTCAGTGGCTTCAGATAAAATACTAGACTCCACATATGCAGGCAAGAATTGTGATCGTTCTTATCACAGATACAGCCAGTTACAGAACATGGTTCTGGCTTTTTCCAGTGACAGAAGGTGCTGCCAAGCCATGGCCTGAATGCATAAAGGATGAATTTTAGGGCAAATACTCAAAGTACAATGCAAGTTGCTAGGGTGGTGGGCAAAATTCTGCTCTGATTTTTTTGCAGTGTTGATGGATTGGACAATTTCTGTTGCCTTCTGGCAAGCTGTTGGCTTCTTTCAAGGCCACTTTCAAATTAGAAACCAATTCAACTTGAAAAAAGATTTTTTTAAAAAACCTTCTGAATGTTGGCAAATTCTTAGTTTCTTAGGTCAGTATCCTGTCAAGCTTTTGTTGAGCAGAAGGTGTCAGTGTAGTAATGTGGACTATGCCACGTGTCCAAGTGTTGCTACCTGCAAGCTGAAAGTAGATTTGGTTTTGTTTGTTTTGCTCTTTCTGCAATGTGTACAAAATGTAATTTACCCAAAGGAAGTGCCTATTCCAACCTATCCAGTACTACTCTTTTTTCCAGACCACGTGACAAAGCAAGAGTTACTGCATGTTTCTGTTTTGCACATTTTACACAATCTCAAGAAATCAAATTGAGCTGTAAAAAGGAGGAACTGCTATTGGTACCACAGTTTACCCCATAAATCATGCAAATGGGGCACACAATCTTGCCACAATCTTCCCCATGTACTCAGATACCTCTGGGTTGTACGGTTGGTCGTGTTGTCAGTTATAGATCTCCCACACATGCTTTAGGAGGGAGCTTTTTTATACCTCTGTCCCAGAAGTGATTAGAAGTGAAATTAGCCCCGGGGCCCCTAGAGTGTGTGAAGAGTCCTTTATATTGTTTTAAGCGAGGCTGAGTTTGGGAAAAGGAGAACAACAGTACTGGAGATGCACCTGGACCTGAGACTTGTATGTGGTCCATAGGCTGCACTTTCTCCCCATACCATCTTCACTTCTCCTTTTTAGTGATGCATAAATGACCACATTATTGTCACTTGCACCACCCCAAACCAATAGGAAGATTGTGGTGCTAAAAAGCAACATGAAAGTGTGTGCTACTTATATACCTCCCCATAGCTCTTAAAGCATTCTCTGTCTGGTGTACAGTTTAATTATACAGGCTAAACATCGGCCCTTCTAGCAGCTGGGTACTCAGTTTCCTGACCTCGGAAGGATGGAAGGCTGAGTGAACCTCAGGCTGAGTATCTGTGGTTGAATCTGCTTGTGAGCAGAATTTGGGCTGCAGTGGTGCAGTTTTACAAAGAGATCAACAATCAGAATTAGTTCCTTCTGTGGAGCTAATTTGAAAATCCCCATCCCACATGTCTTTCAAAAAAAGGAAACTCCCATATTTCCAGAGAGCAAAGACAAGAGGTCAAGTGGGGGAAAATATCCCAGAACTAAAGCAATGAAGATCACCTCTCTTGTGTTTTGCTTAGTTTTTGATAGTTTCTTAAAATGTATGTCTTTGCATTGAAATTTGAATGATCTTGTATTATTCTTCAAATATGAAGTCAGAACATGTACTGAATATTTTGTAAATGTGATTATTTTCCCCCCTCCTGTAGGTTAATATCCTTTCAAGAATTTGTAGCATTTGAGTCTGTCCTCTGTGCTCCAGATGCATTGTTCATGGTGGCATTTCAGCTTTTTGATAAAACTGGAAAAGGAGAAGTGACGTTTGGTAAGATCTGTTTTTTTTTCCCTTTCCTCTCCCTCATTCTAAAAATGGTAATCCTTATCAAGATTGTTCATAAATGTTTAATGTTTTTAAAGTTTAAGAAACTTTTTAAAATTTCACTTCAGTTATATTACTTGTCCATTAAATGTATATTTTAATGAATCTGTATCTGCTGTTAAATTATATCGTAATGCATAGTTTTAAATAGTGTAATTTAGTAAGAGATTTAGAAAGTATTCTTTGGTTTAACAGAAGACCTCTGTCTATTGGTTGGTCTCTATCTGCTTGTTTGTGTGTATGTTGAATCCAGTGTAAGATCTAAATCAAGGGGACTTAGGTATGACCAATGTCTCATTTATTTCAGTAACTTAACTCCAGATGTGACTGTGGTGGAATGCCCAAGTCACGCCTGCCTGTCATATGGAGCTCTAGGGCAGGAGCCTATGGCAGGACAGGAGGGGCGGAGTCAGGAGAACAATTGGAGACTGAGGGGAGTTAGAGAAGAGGTTTTGAAGGGTTAAGGCTGAGATTAGAAAGTTGGGGTGTGTTAGAGCAGTGGTTCTTAACGTGGGCGATAATGCCCCCCAGGGGGCGATTTCATTTTTCAGGGGGGCGGTAGAACGAAAAG